TCAATCCTATATAAGATTCAATATAAAACCATTAAAGTACTTTGTTTATCCACTCAACTCTCCGATTCGCAAGGTTGTGAAAACTTTCAAAAGTATTTCCCGGAGCCAACTAGATAATTCCAACGATCACAGGCATTTGCATGTCTTATTGAGTGAATTTTATATAAAGAAATAAAGATACGCAATCTTTTTTTTAACGATTTTGAGCCGTTGAGATTATATCGTAGAGATACAAAATGATTTTGAATATGTTCACCCCACTGAAGTCACGTGATATGACTGGGACATGTTGCAAATTCTTACCATGCCGTTCCATCGCCAGTCATAATTGACTTCAAATTTTACCCATATCGAGTGAACATGTATTTGATTATACTGATTAAAAAGTCACAATAAACAGTTTATGTACCTTTAGAATAGAATTTTGTATCAAGAACCTTACGATATGATTCTTAATTAATAAAAATATAAATCCCAATCTGAGACTGTATGAAATATATCTGAAAAATATCATGCTTTTTGATGCAAAGAAAAGATGTTTCAACTGAATCCAATAATGTGGGCGGAAACATGCCTATAAAAGTGTTATGGGTTTCGGAAATGCTACAAATAAAAAGCCTTATGTAGCAGAACATTTTCCAAAATAGTACTGATAAGATTCTTAATATTAATACTTTTAATTTTACATGTGTGTGATCAAAGATGAAGTTTTTTTTTTCTTTTCTTTTCAACTTAGCTCATTGGCACCAGTTACATTCTGATTATGCCTGATCTCTCCTGTTCACCCCATTCCTTGGATCTTTTTTGAAGAAATAGAATTCTGATATTGTTATTATTGTTAATGATATAATAATCTTTATTAGAAATCTATTAGCTATAGTGATAGTATTAGAAAAGGAACTTTTCTTTCTGAAAATTCAAGGGATGAAGGAAGTTGGTGAGGCCAGGTAGCTCTTGTAATTGACTCCATGGTGACTAAGCACTTCTGGAGCCATTTAGGTGTAAACAGAATTAATAAAACAAATTACAGTGGACTGTGCACCAGCATCACTGTTTACGAAAAGAGCATAAATATGCTATATCAGAATTAAAGCTCAGTTAAAGATGAAAATTTGATTTGATTTTAACAAGATTGCTATTTGAATATCCAAGGTTTACAGCAAATCTGTAAACTGATATGTATATATATATTTAAGTTTTGGACCTGTAGTGAATAATGATGAAAGTAACTGATACAAATTAGTAAGTTCATGTCAGTTGTAATTGAGAAAGACAAATCAAGATAGTTACAATTGTTATCTCAGTAATTATTCAGTAGAGTATCATGCCGAAGGATTGGCATATATGTATACCTTATCCTGATTGATGGCATTTCTTGTAACGCAATATTAGTTTTATTGATTTGATTATTTGAAAATTATTATTTTTAAGTAAATAAAGAATGTGGTGATATCTGTCTGATTCTTTGGCTTTCTATTTTCTGTCATGCTCCTCCTTTTAACCCCGCTACCCTCTTTCATTCCCTCTCTTTTCTTTCCCTCCTTCCCTTGCTTCTCCCAGTTTTCCTCTTTCCCTACCTCCTATCTTTCTCTCCCTCTCCTCCTCATTATTCTTATGACACTACAGTGTTAGTTGTGGCATATGCCATTAACACCGCAGTGACGAAAAATGTCATAAGCAGAGGAACAAGGGAGGAGGAAGCTACTTTATTGTAAAGTGTAATTCATCCAAAAGAAGAGAAAGAAAATAATTGACATATGTTTCCACTGAATAAAGTAGAGAAAAGAAAAGATGTATTGTCATTAAAAAAGAAGAGAAAAGAGAAGAAATTGTACTTCTAAGCATATTGCTTAAACAGTTTACACCCAATCAAATGATATAGAATAAGTTTATGTAAAAAAGGAATGTGACGATAATGATAATGAGATCAAGTATTGGAATAAGAAAAAGAAGAAAAAAAAAAAAAAAACTTTTGATCGATAAAGTGGAACTGACTGCTCTGTCTCGGTCTTTCGTCTCCAGGCATTGTGGTTTTTGATGTCACAGTCGCATGAGGCTTCAGATGTTTGCTTTTATCAGGCAAATGAACAAAATCATTAAAATTTTTTGGAAATAAATTGTTTGCCTAAAAGAAAGAGAGAGAAAAAAAAAAAAATCCAACCGTCAGCTTGTCCAGGACTTTAGTAATCTGGAGTGAAGGATTTTCCCTTGATGGACAAGTTATTAAAAAAAAAGTTATAAAGAACATTGATTACCCCTCCTCACCCCACCCCTCTCTCTCTCTCTCTCTCTCTCTCTCTCTCTCTCTCTCTCTCTCTCTCTCTCTCTCTCTCTCTCTCTCTCTCTCTCTCTCTCTCTCTCTCTCTGTCTCTCTCTCTGTCTCTCTCTCTCTCTCTCTCTCTCTCTCTCTCTCTCTCTCTCTCTCTCTCTCTCTCTCTCTCTCTCTCTCTCTCTCTCTCTCTCTCTCTCTCTGTCTCTCTCTCTCTCTCTCTTTCGTTCT